GTGACCTTCATTTTTGGACTTCTGGGAATTTTGTTCTTGTGGGGAGAAACTGCTGTGATGTATTTCCACATATAAAACAATCTCAATGATCAAATAAGACATCACGTACTGTAATGATGGGAGCTCCACTGGGTGAGAGAGTATAATATAACCAGGGAGGGTTGTTGCAGTTAACATCCCCTCCCTCCCCCCACGTGACCAGGCAGATGCCAGGCCGTTCGCTTGGGATCCTGTAGGAGGGAGTACCTCTGAAGCTGGGAGTACGGTGAATAAACAGGTGACCAGGAGTCTGCTCCAGTCTTGCAGTCCATCCACAACGCCTTCTGAACTCTATCCTGGGCGTGGGGACCGGGGGCCGGGAGTCCCTGCGGGGCTGACCGGCATTTTCTTCCCACTCTGTGCCCTTGCCGAGTGCTGAGAGAGAGGGGGGCGGGGAGGGGGAGGCAGACCTGCATTGCTGCCCTGGCACTGCCTTCTGCTGGTCCTTGGGGCGCACACCCCACCCGGGCTCTCCAGGTGGTGGGCGTCAGGGTTTCTGCTGCTTTCCTTGGTGGATTTTGTGTCTTCTGTTATCTGCTTTTATAATGTATTATTTTTACAATTGGAGGAAAAAAAATAAACAGTGTATTTTAAAGCAAAAGGCCGTCTGGGACTATTTATAACTCGACATCCAGCCAGTACTTCCTGGGGTACTGGGGTCTAGGTACAGAGGAAGGCGCAGCGTTCTGTCCACCTGTTTCATCGGCACATGTAGAAACTGCTACTGGGAAAGAATGGTGCCGTGATGCTCAGGCAAGGGTCAGTTCCCCGTGACCCCGCCCCGGCCGCCTGTCAGCAGTTACTGGTCCCTCCTGCCCACGTCCCTCCTCTCCCTCCCCCTCAAGCTCAGCCTCTCCCATCCAGGTGTTAGTGTGAGCGTGGGCAGCCACTTCCTCCTCTGTTCCCATCACACGGGCTGAGCTGCCTCAGCGATCCTCAGGGTCTCCAGACACTGGACTTGACTGTGCCTGCCTAGCCCCTTCTTGGAGAGCTAGACCGAGTTTCTAGGAACCCTTGTCGCCGGTCAGGGGGAAGCACGCCCCTCTTTCTGGCCTCTCTGTCCTGTGATCAGTCATACCAGCTCAGTGACTCAGTCCCCCGGGTCGCAGGCCAGTTCCTCTCTTCATTCATTAAGGACCCGAATGACTGGAAATTGGGAGGTCCTGGCCTGTTAATCATAGTTTTTGATATCTCTAAATTACAGTGGTGTTCTCAGGGTCGTGTTGAGGTCACATGAAAACTCACAAAGCTAGTTGTGCGATGGTCACCTCCTCCAGGAAGCCGTCCCTGCCCTCTTCCCACTCCCTCATTCCCCAGCTCCATGAAGACAGACCACAGGGGAAAGATGGCCACGAGGACACGGAGGCCATGATCAGAGCAATGAGCTAGCCAAGGACTGGGGGGGAGTGCCCGCAGCCGCCGGGAGCTGGGAGGGAGCAGAGACCCGACACCTTGATTTCAGACGACCACCCTCGAGAACTGTGAGAGAACTGCTGCTGTTTTAAGCCACCCAGTTTGTGGTCATTGGTTACGGCAGCCCCAGGACACGGACAAGGCCCCTTTCTCTGTCTGGGCTGCAGTGCTCGCTGGCGTTGGGTGGAGTCAGACGCAGGCTTTGTGCGTTTTCAAGCCCACTGTTGAAGGCCGTGCCCTTTCTTCTCCGAGGCAGCCCGGGATGGACAGGAGTGCAGGCTCCCGAGACCGCCCTGGCCCGGGACGCATTCCCGGCTGTGTGACCCTGGCTCGGTGACTTCGCCTCTCCTCTGCCACAGGGACCAGAAAGCCAACCCCCTCAGCCCATACTCAGCCTGCTGCCCGTTTGGCGGAGAAGGCTCGCCTGGCCGCAGCCATACTCATTCGTTTGCCATGGCCTGTGGTGCTCTGCTCAGCGGCTGAGGTTGGACAGAGACCGGATAGCCAGTAAAGCCTATCTGCTGACCCTTGACCCAGAAAAGGGGAGAGTTACACCGGTGGGAAGGTGGGCTCCAGAGGGCCCACTCACCGGTGTGCCCCCTGCCTGTCGCCTACCCTGGGAGGGTTGTTTCAAGATTTAGGGAGAAACCTTACGTTGGACACTAACCCGTGCCTGGTGCCCAGTCTGCTCAGTGAACGTGAGCAGTTCTCGTCCCGTGATGGCAGCTGGGAAGGGAAACTGGCCCTCACGGGCTCCAGGGTGGGGGTCCTGGGGTCAGACCATTGGGCTCTCAGGAGCCTGAGGAGCCTGCGGTGGAGACGTGTCCCAGCTGCCTTAGCTGAGGTAGAAAAGGATTGATGGTCGCTGCTGTCTTTGACAGGCTCAGGGCTGACCGCAGCGACAGTGGAGGGCTGCAGAGTTCTCTTCCCCATCCTCCTCCAGAGTGGAGAGTGGCGGGGACAGTGCCCCCGGATGTGGGCCTCAAGGCCCGAGCCTGGAGCTGCCCGCCCCCCGCCCCCTGGCTATTGTGTGCTGGGCCCTGGTGTGGCTCAGGGCTGGGGGCCAGCGCTGGGACTGTGGGAACGGATTAGAGGCCCTGCTCTGCTTCCCCTCAGTGTAAACCTGATCAAAGACATTCCTGGGATGACAGGGCCCTGTGTGCTCAGAGGCTGCCCGGCCTGCGGGATGCACCCCCACGCAGCAGAGCCCGCTGCTGGGACGGATGGTCTGCAGGACGGGCTCCGAGGGGTGTGGGGGGCTCTGCACTGCAGCCGCCCCCAGGGGCCTCACGGCTGTGATCTCAGCTGGAGCTGCCTGCTCTGGGCCCCACCTCTCCCCTCCATGGCCCCAGCAAGGAACTGTCTGTCCTTATCGCGTAGCCCCGCTATCTATCGCGTAGCCCCACTATCTATCGCATAGCCCCGCTGGATCCTGGGGCCTCCTGGTTCTGCTGGGTCCCTGGAGAGCCCCCTGCCCCCACCTCCTCACAAGGCTGGGTCTGTCCTCTACCCCCCACCCCCACCCCTGCCAGCTGGGTCAGGCAGGGCGGTCTCTTTCTCTAACTCACAAGGCATCTGGGTGACCTGTGGGACACTCGCGCCCCTTCCATTCAGCTCCCACTTCTCAGTACCCACTGTGTTTGCCAGGTTGGCATTGGGGGCAGAGCATCGGTGGGACGCCTGTCCTGAGGCTCACACCCAGGGCACACGTGGTGGGGTCTGGCAGGAGCCTGGAGAGGGAGCAGAGGGGGAGCTCCTTGGGCTCAGAGGTGGAGGCAGGAGTCATGGGTGGAAACAGGCTAGGGAAGATGGAGGAGGGAGCCAGATGGGGAGTAAGGGGGGAGAAGGGCCAGGTGTTAGGACCTTGGATGGAGCCAGAGGAGCCAGCAGCCCCAGGAGGGGTTAGCAGGGAGCTGGGTTGGGAGGCCGGACAGGCCCAGGTGAGGGCAGTGGGGCTGCAGCAGGGGCAAGGAAGTCCCTAACAGTTCAGTTTTTATTTTCGCCATAGGCACGGGCCTTCACTGCCATCACATGAGTGTGCGCGGGCACCTGAGGGGCTGTGGGTGGCTTGAGAGGTCAGGGCCCGAGGCATCACCCAGAAGAAGAGCCTTCTAGACACCTCCCATGGGGGCTTCCCAGAGGAGCCAGGGCTGTGGGGGACACGGGACCCCCCTTGCTTGGCCCAGACCTCTGTGCTTGTAGTTGTGCAGCCCGTCGGGGGCTGTGTCCGGTTCATGCCCCTGCCTTCCACTCTGTCCACCAGGCAGCCCTCACACAGCCTCCGCACAGGGACCCTGAATGCTACATGCATCGCAGCCCAGCCCAGGCCTTCACCCGTGCAGGGCGCTCTCCCTCTTCCTCTCTCTCCCGGTTCCTGCTGGGACTCAACCCTCAGACTGTTGCCTCTCCCCCAGGACTGCTCCTCAACATGCCCTGGGCCCTGGTGGTGTCAGAGCCACTGCTCAGCCCCCTGTACACACGTGGAGGCCACAGACGTCGCTGGGCCCCCTGCATCAACATGCCTAGCTCGTCCCGGGCTGAGCTGCCACAATGGTGTGGCCCCGGACCTGACCTTCAAGGCGCCTTCTCCGGACTTGACTGTCCCTTGGCCTCCTGCCACCTGGGATCCCCTTTTGGAGCACCCTGCAGGTTCCCGAGGCAGCCTGGCCTCGTGTCCCATCCCACCCAGCAATTCCAGCCCCTCCACACCACACCTCCTCCCAGAAGCCCCAGTGCCCTGCCAGCCTCGTGGGTGCCCACGGGGAGCCCCGAGGAGAGCCCTCCTGGGCAGGGCAGGGCAGTTCACACAGGCCGCAGTGAGTTGACAAGTAGTGACATCCTTGACAGGTAACCTGGGCTAGAGCTGTTCTCCAGCACTCACTGAATTATCTGACAGCCAGGGGCACGGACACACAGGGGGACCCCCACCTCCGGGAAGCTGGGACCAAGGCCTGCTGACACCCGCCCAGTGCGCTGACACCGAGGTAGCTGCCACAGGTGTCCACCAGCCTCCCGGTCACCAGTCCGTGTGAACGGCCACCGGAGCACAGCCTGGACATAGTGCTGTGCTCTCCAGGAGCCTGGGCCTCAGAACCATGACTCACCGAGAGCAAACAGCCATTTGCTCCAGGAGAGGGGTAATGAAGGCTGGACCTGTTTATTTTCCTATCTGCAAACAGCCTGGGAGGGCGGACTGGCGAAATGCAGCTGGAAGACGGTCTTGACCACCAGGCAGTCACGTCACCCGGCCAGAAGCAATTGCTTCCCTAAAGTCTTCTTGGGGCCCAAGTGCACCCCCCCCAACCCCTGTGCTGTGAGCTTCACCCATTCCTGGACCACTGAGGACAGCTGGCAACATCAGAGACGTTTCTGTTGTCAC